TGGCACCAAAACTGGACAACCAACTCCACCCAGCCCATGGGTGCCGCGACACCAGGAAGCCGTGGAGGAGCCGGGGGCGGCTGGCGGAGATGCGGTGCGTGACCTGGAAAACACGGTCTCCTCCCTGCTAGGAGATGTGGACTTTGCCTATGAAGATGCTGCAGTTACAGGGACAGACATGGTAGAGGACGCAGGGGCACCGGGGTCACTGCCCAAGAACAGCAAGTCCCCATCCATGGCTGGACTCGGCCATGAGCACCTGCGGGGCCAACAGGGCAGGTGAGAAGGGCATCTGGGGACAAGGAAGCCACTCCCCACCAGGACGGAAAGACGCAGGGGCACCCAAGACCCCGCGGCGCAGCGCCTGGGCGGGGTGGGGGTGGTGGGCTGCGTCCCAGGGAGACAGTGGGAAGAATGGAATGGCCCTGCAGCCACCAGCCCCCCACACCCTCTGTCCTGGCTCTTTGTGAGAAGGAGCAGCAGGGTGTTCACTCAGAGAGATGCCACAGGTCCCAAAGCCAAAACTGCTGCGGTTACCAACAGCTTCATCCCAGCCCTGATCCCACAGTTTCTATATGATTCTGAGGGACTGACATCCGCACCCCTCCCGTGTCTAGATGCCACGGGACACGAGCAGCCCGCACAGGCAGAGGCATGCTGCCACGGTGACGGCAGACGCAGTCCAGAGTGCATGGGCTACACCTTCACTCAGAGCCGCTGTCCGGCTTTGTTGCTGGAACAAAAGACCACCTTTCGCTCCTGACCAGGCCCCACAGGCTGTGCCCAAGTCCATGTGCCAGCTCAGGAAGCAGCTCCCACCCCACAGGGCCAGGACGCAGTTCTACCTGCCAGCGCCTTCTCGTAATTCTTCCCCATGGCGATGAAGTTCCGGAGGCTAGGGTTGAACTGCTCCATGATGGTCTGGAAGAAAGCAGAGAAGAAGCAGCATTACTGGCAGAGGTCACCCTGGTGACTCCGAAGGGTCCGAACACAGAGGTGGCCAGGCACCCCTCCCAGGGGTCGAGACAACAAATGCTCAAGGTGGGCTTCTCGAGTTCAAATCCCAGCCATGCCCCTGATCAAAGTCCTTGGGAAAATGACCTTCCTGAGCCTCAGTTTTCACATCTGTACGAAAGGGATGAGAAAAAACCCTGCCGTGCGAGTGTCTGCGGACTGAAGGAGCGCGTCTGCACGGTGCAGGAGGCAGGACACAACTGGCGCTCAGACGCGCTGCCGCCGAGGGGCCGTTCCATTAGCACGGCTGAGTCAGCCCAGATGGGCCCCCACCGGCCACACACAGTCACTCACCGACGTGGCGCCCCCCTCCCACTAAAATCCTACTCAGCACATCAATTACCAAACATCAGCTCTGATTAGCGCCACGGCAGCCTGATCTGCAAATGCCACGCTATGAATAATCCAACGGCTCTGGGTCTGTTTGCCCGACGGACGGGCATCTCGGTGCCAAGATCAGCAGTTCTTAGACTCAAGAAATTAGATTTTCACTGTGAAGGCCAAATAAATGTTTTAATTACAAGGCATAAAAACAGGCACACACAAACAACAGCCAAATGAGAATTCTACCCGCATAACACAATCAACAGCCAACCCCCGCCAGCAAGGGCCCGGGGAGCAGCTCCAACAGAAACCCTGGCGCAGCCGCCTCCCGTGTCTTCCGGTCGCTTGTTATGATGTGATCCTGATCTTTCCCCAGGATCACGGGAAGGGAAGCCGCCCAGCCCTGTCACAGACGAGCAGAAGGCTGTGGGGCCCCCACCCACCCAGCCCCAACCTGTGGGCAACTCCATCCCCCACCCCCTCTCCCAGCACCTGGCCTCAGCCTCCGGAGCCAACAGGCCAGATAAACAGGGCATTTAGGGACAAGGAAGCCACTCCCCGCCACGGGATCTGGCTCCAGAAAACCTGCTATTTCACGTGTCTTCCATTCCCTGCCCCGAGCTACGGCCAGGGTGTGTGTTCTCGGGGAACGAGGCCCCCAGTTCTGCGCTACACCACGGCTTGCAGCAGGCTGGGAACACCTCAGTCCTGCCCGTGCTGGAACCTCCAGTGGTAAAGCCACCCAGCCAAGTCCCAGGGCAGGTGCCCCTTCCTTCCTGGATGCAGCAAGGGTGAGGGCACCTTAGCGTGCTAGCCCAGAGCCCATGTGCACAGGGGTGGGGGATGCAGCATCCACTCAGCCGCAAATTCCTGTTCTCACAGAGCCAACGTCTATCGAGGGAATGCAGGACCGGGGCCCAGCGCTTCCGGAGAAGTGGGACAGGCGTGCTCAGCAAGACGTGGAAGGCAGGCAGGGAAGCACTTTCCATGCCACACAGCAGTGGGCAGACCAGAGCAGGGCAAAGGCCCCGAGGCAGGGCCCACGGTGAGTTCCTGGGAAAGTAGGACCCGACGTGGGGGTGGAAGGGGCCCAGGGGAGGCAGGAAGAAGAAGAGGTGGGTGCAGTGGGATACACCCTGAGGCCAGGCTGCATGAAGCTAAGGAGGGTCTGAGCAGAGCGATGGGCCAGCTACATGTAAAAGATCCCACTGGGTCGCTGGGTCGGATGTGGTGGCTCACACCTATAATTCCAGCACTTTGGGAGGCAGAGGCGGGAAGATCACTTGAGCCCAGGCATTCAAGACCAGCCTGGGTGACATGGTGAGACCCCATCTCTACAAAAAATTTAAAAATTAGCTGGGTGTGGTGGTGCACGCCTGTGGTCCCAGCTACTCAGGAGGCTGAGATGTGAGGACTGCTTAAGCCCGCAAGGTCAAAGCTGCAGTGAACTGTGACTGTGCCATTGCACTCCAGCCTGGATGACAGAGTGAGACCCTGTCTCTAAAAAAAATAAAACAGGCTGGGCATGGTGGCTCATGGCCATAATCCCAGCACTTTGGGAGGCCAAGACAGGTGGATCACAAGGTCAGGAAATCGACACCATCCTGGCCAACATGGTGAAACCCTGTTTCTACTAAAAATACAAAAATTGGCTGGGCATGGTGGCACACGCCTATAATCCCAGCTACTTGGAAGGCTGAGGCAGGAGAATCGCTTGAACCTGGGAGGTGGAGGGTGCAGTGAGCAGAGATCGCGCCGCTGCACTCCAGCCTGGCAACACAGTGAGACTCCGTCTCAAAAAAATAAATAAAAATTTTTTAAAAACAAAAACAAAAAACAACCAGAAGAGATCCCTCTGGCTGCTCAGGGGAGACTAGATTTTAGCCAAGGGCTCTGGCATATGCCGGGAGACCCACTGGATGCTCCGGGATGTCAGGAGAGGAGAGGCACGTACCACGCAGGCCTCTGTTCTAGGGGCGGGGATGCTGCAGCAGAGCAGGCTCAGCACTGAACTAAATACTTAGCAACGAACCAGGAGCCTGGACGCTTTAACTCCCAGGAGCGCCTGGGAGCCGGGGCAGGGAGGCCACACAGGGAGTGTGTGAGATGGGTCTGGCGCCCAGGAGAACGTGAGCCAGAGACGACGCCTGAGAGTTACCAGCAGAGAGGAGAATGCTGGGACCTGGAGTGCTCTCGGCAGCCTGGTTCAAACTGATCAAGCAGATCGGGACTGACGCTCGGGAAATGCTGCTGGATGCGTGTTTATTGTAATGAACTCAAGCAGAAGGGGGCATCAGCCAAGTGAGGTGGATGCGGCCGATTCTAGTGTTCTGGTGTATGTGTGCTCATGTCTGCATACACATCTGTGTGCATGTGTGCGCGTACAGACACACGCATGTGTGCACGTGTGTTCGCGTGTGCATGTACACATCTGTGAGTGTGTGTGCTGAGATGCAGCATCAAGCATGTTTCTCACCCTATGTGACACAGGTGTGAAAACACTACCACAGAGGGTGGGCATGCCAGAGCAGACTCCTCGCTCACAAGAGCCCCACGTGCTTGGCTTCAGGACCATGACCCCACAGACACCCGGGCAGAAGAGGTGGCTCAACCTGAGCCCTGTGAGCTCCACTAACATCCTGAGCAGCAGGAGAAACAGGCCAGGAGCCACCCAGGGCCAACCACGGCGGGTCAGCACGGCAGCCATGCCCACTGCATGACGCACGGGGCAGCCCCAAGGTTTCGCTTCCTTAGTGCAGCAGCTGAGCTCACACGGAAGGAATGCAGGAGAAAATGGGCAGGGAACAGCCACCAGGCCACCTGGGCATGGCCCTGCCTCCATCTGCAAGAGAGGGGCGGCGGCCAGGACACACAGGTGCTGCCGTCCTGGCCCGAAGGCAATGGCAGAGGCATCAATTCCACTGAGCAGACATTGTAAGGGGGGACTCCCTTCCCAGGCGGAAGGGCCAGTTCCTCCTCCTACGTCTGCATCCAGCCCCTGGGCCCGAAGAGAGGCTTCTGTGGAGCCCTGCCTCAGGCACACACAGCAGGCATCACCCACCCCTCCTCCGGGCTCCTCCCTCTCCTGGGAGCCACAGGAGGAGCCCAGGGGCCCATGAAGAGCCCAGCCCCTCTGCTGGGAGACCATCCCCGGTCAGGCGTCTCTCTGAGCCCCCTAACGAGTCCATCCATTCTCCTAGAGCTCAGGCAGGGGCCATCCTGACCCAGTGGGCCTGTGTGGAGGTCCCCAGCCCGAGGACAGCCCCCTGTGGGGCATACACTCCACTCCCGCCTCCACTTCCACTTCTGACTCCCCTAACTAGGCCAAGGTCCTGGTCCGGGGACCCATAACCCACAGGGGCTCTGCAGTGTCCGGGGGTCCCGGGGTGGGGGCCAGGGAGCCAGTGACAGGCAGCTCCAGCTCCTCTGGAACGAACACCAACAGCGGCGGCCCCAGGCGGAAAGAACTCAGTTCTCAGCCACACCAACGCGGCTTTTCCAAGTCATGGAGCGAGTGTATCTTTTTGCAGGATGCCGCCAGGAAGGAGCTGAGCTCAGACACCCTGACGCCCTGACAGTGCTGGTCGGGGCGGGGAGGTCTGTGGGCTTTAAAAGGGGAAGGGAGCTTGTTTCTTACCAACACCAAAGGGCTGCAAAACAGAAAAGCCTAGGCCAGGAGGGAGAAACTGCACAAGTAAATAACCTCAAGCCCTCAGAGGGGCCACGCCCACACGGCAGGTCTGAAGTGAGTTTAAAGCCCAGCTGTCCACACTGAGGGCGCTCAGGGACACGTCGTGCCATCCTCAAGACCACAACAAAACTAAGAGGCTCCTGGGGGCTACGGGCACAGAGCGCTGTGCAGGGGTTCTGTGACCCCATCCCCCTGCCAGGAGAGAAATCCTACACCATGAGCAACCATCACACTGTCCTCAAACTCTAGGACCTGTGCGGCGCAAACGCAGCCCGGCGCGTGCAGAGCTCTGCTGTGCCCTGGTGACCACGCGCTGGCTCCCCGGGCAGCGTTCTGGGCTGGCAGGGACTTCCGGTTCCCTGTTTATTCACCACTGACCAGGGAACACCTTTCCCACCCCGGGGTGGTGATCCTCGGCGGGTCTGCCCACAAGAGGCTCCCACACATGCCATGGAAGGTTTCCCCTCATAGGACTCATGCTGCGAAACGCCAGGTGAGGAGGCGTCCCTGCCCAGGGCTGCCCGCATGCTTGGCTGCCCTCCTGTTAGGAGACCCATAGAGATGGATGTTCCAGTGGCCCTGGAGTCGCATGAAATCCAGGCCCTGACCACAGCAGGGACCCCAGCTGTCCCTACTACAGCCCCCAGGGACCCCGGCTATGCATTTCTGAAGGTACAAATGGGAGGGCCGTGTCCACCAGTTAGAGGTGGCCGCCAGAGAATGTCGATGAGCCCAGGGAGCCCTTTTGCTGGCGAGCTGCCGGACACTGCTGGCCAGCCTGGAGACTGTGGCCATTATGATTCAGGGCTGCGGGCCGGCCTGGCCCGTGCAGGCGCAAGGCAGCAAAACCCCCATCATCTCCACGTCCTCCCAAGTTGGGCAACAAAGGAGA